AACACAAGGTCACTCCACCAGTAAACCCTGAGCTGACATGAAGAAAGGATATATAGGCCAGATTCTCTAACATAGGGGTCAGCAAACATATCCGTTTTTGTTTTTTTTTTTTAATTCCAGTGTTCTATTAGTTTCAGGTGCACAATACAGTGATTCAGCAGTTCTGTACGTTACTCAGTGCTCATTATGATAAAGTGTACTCTTAATCCCCTTCACCTATTTCACCCATCCCCTCCATTCACCTCACCTCTGGTAACCACCTATTTGTTCTCTGTAGTTAAGAGTCTGTTTCTTGATTTGAAACAGGTCCATTTTTATAAAGTTTTTCTAGAACACAGCCATGTTCATTTAAGTACTGTCTATGGCTGCTTTCACAATACAATGGTAGAGTTGAGTAGTTGAGAAGGAGACCATATGAAGCACCTGAAAGACCTACTATTGGATTGTTTACAGGAAAAACTGGCTGACTCTCACTCTACAACAGCATTGTCCAACAGGACTTTCTGCATTGATGGAAATGTTCTGTATCTGCATTGTGCAATAAATAGACTGCCACATGTAGTTATCGATCAACTAAAATATGTCTAGTACAACTGAAAAACTGAATTTTATGTATTTGTGCATACAGTATAATATTTATATTTGGGAGTTTTAATTTTCTGAGGCATTACTACATTTAAAATGTATTAGTTTCAGGTGTACAACATAACTTGATATATGTACATACCGCAAACTGGTTACCACAATAAATTTAGTTAACATCTACCACCACACACACTTAAAAGTTCTTTTTTCTTGTGATGAGACCTTTTAAGAACGATTCTCTCACCATCTTCGAAATATACAATACAGAACTGTGATCACTGTAGTACATGCTGTAGATTACATCCCCAGGATTTATTTAGCTTATAACTGGAAAAAATCAACTTTAAAAAACATAGTTCTAGTAGTTTCAACACATGTATAGACTTGTATAACCATCACCAGCCAGAAGCAAAAAAGTTCCATTACTGCAAAAACTCCCTTGGAAGTTATATTCTTGCCTCCCCCAACCCTTGGCAACCACTGACTGGATCTTTGCCACTACAGTTCTGTCTTTTCAAGAATTTCATATAAATTTAAACATTCATTATGTAACTTTTTAAAAAAAGGTTTAATGTTTATTTATTTTTGAGAGATATGCAGAGCATGGGCAGGGGAGGGGCAGAGAGAGAGGGAGACACAGAATCTGAGGCAGGCTCCAGGCTCTGAGCTGTCAGCACAGAACCCGACGCAGGCCTCAAACTCACGAACTATGAGCCAAAGTCAGACGCTTAACCGACTGAACCACCCAGGCGCCCATCATCATGTCACTTTTGGAAACTGTCTTCTTCCACCAAGTGGCTGCATGTACTGTTAGTTCGTTCCTTCTCATTTTTTAGTAGTTTTCTATTGTATGGATATACCACCATTCATCCTCCAGCAGTGAAAGCTAGCTATAATACTAGCTAGTTTTAGTTTTTGGTGACTATGAATCAAGCGTCCTAGACATTTGAGTACAGGTTACAAAAATACCCAGGAGTGAAACTGGGTCATATGATAGGTGTATGTTTAACTTTGTAAAAAACTATCAAACTCTTTCTAAAGTAGCCGTACCATTGTCCATTTCCAGCAGCAATTTATGAGTGTCCCAGTTGTTCTACATCCTTGCCAGTAACTGGTATTGTACTTTTAATTTTGGCCATTCTAACAAGTGTGTAATGGCATGTCGTGGTGGTTTCAGTTTGCACTTCCCTAATGGCTAATGATGTTGAATATCTATTCATGTGCTCACTTGCCATCCTTTGGTGAAGTGTGTTCTAATCTTTTTCCTATGTTTTAATTGGGATGTTTATTTTCGTATTGTTGAGTTTTGAGAGTTCTTTATATATTCCAGATACAAGTTCTTTTCATTCTCTTCATAGCATCATTTGCAGAGTGTTATGGCTGAATTGTGTGCATTCATTCCTAAAATTCGTATGTTTTAGTCCTAACCCCCAATACCTTAAAATGTAACTGTATTTGGAGACAGGCCTTTTAAAGAGGTAATTCAGGTTAAATGAAGCCATACGGGTGGCTCTAATCCAGTAGGGCTAGCGTTCTTACAAGAACAGGAAGGGATCCAGAGATGTGCACGCACAGTGAAAAGACCATGTGAGAAACAGCAAGAAGGTGGCCACCTGAAATCCATGGAGAGACTGAGGAGAAGCCAACTCTACCAACACCTTGATCTTGAATTTCCAGTCTCCACAACTGCGAGAAAATAAAATTTCAATTGTTTGAGCCTCCCAATCTGTGGTACTTTGTTATGGCAGCCCTAGTAAACTAATACAGAGAGTAAAATTTTATATTTTTTATAAAGTCTAATTTATCCACTATTTTTTTCATGGATTGTGCTTTGGTGTCATGTCCAAAAAAATCTTTTTGCTCAATCCCAATTTTCTCCTACGCTTTCTTCCAAAAAAGTTTTACATTTAGATTTGATACATTTTACTTTAATTTTTATTTAAGGTGGGACACTTAGGTCGAGGTTTTTTGTTTTTGCAGGAATATGTCCAACTGTTCTGTTTGTTGAAACGACTATCCTTCCTGCATTGAACTGCCTTTCACCTCTGTCAAAATCAGTTGGCTTATACCTGTGTGGGTGTATTTCTGGATTCTATACAGATCCACTGATCTTGTGTCTATTCCTTACTAATACTACATGCAGTCTTGATTACTGTAGCTTTACAAAAAGTCTTAAAAATTAATTATGTGATTCCTCTTTTTCTTTTTCAAAGTTGCTTCAGCTATTCAAGGTCTTTTGCCTTTCCCTATACATTTTAGAATCGACCTGTCTGTATATATATTTTTTAATCCTGCTGGGATTATTTGGAATTGCATTAAATCTATAAATCAATTTGGAGAGAACTGATATCTTTACTATGTAGTCTTCCAATCCATGAACACCAATCTCTGTTTAGGTTTTCTCTGGTATCTTTCATCAGTGTTTTACAGTTAACAGCATACAGATCCAACACATTATTTTCATTTTAATAGCCATGTGTAGCTAGTGACAACTATATTAGACATCACAGGTCTAAAAAGTGTGAACTTGGAAATCCTGAGAAACAGTACCACTACACAACGTAACCCAGTGTGAAAACTATGCCATAAAATTATGCCAGTGTCTTAGCAAGCAAGACCTTTGGCAAAGTAAAGATTTGAAGAAGTAGAAAAGATACTATGAGGAGATAGTTAATAAAGAACAGAGAATAGAACAAATGCGCAGAAAAAAATTATAAGAGACCATGAGAAAGGAACAGATCTCCAAGCTGCCTTGAGTTCCTGACAACTTTCCAGTTTCATATCACATATTATCTTTACAATAGCCTCTATTTTCCAGAATCACCTTAAATCGCTCTTTATTTCTTAAAACCAGCTTTTTAAAAAAATTTTTTGTTTTATTTTAGTGACAGAGCATGAATGGGAAAGGAGCAGGAGAGAATCTCAAGCAGGCTCCACACTTAACATGGAGCCACACACGGGGCTCAATCCCACAACCCTGGGATCACGACCCGAGCTGAAATCAAGAGTCAGACGCTCAACTGACTGAGCTACCCAGGTGCCCCTTTAAAACCAGATGTTTAAAGATCTAAATTTCTGGGACTATATGGTGCTAATTAAAAAAAAAAAAAACAACAGATTAGGACTATCATGCTAACTTTTTGTGAAAAATGCACTTAGCAGGGGCACCTGGAGGGCTTAGTTGGTTAAGCATTCGACTTCAGCTTAGGTCATGAGCTCAGGTCATGATCTCATGGTCCAGGAGTTCAAGCCCTACCTCTGGCTGTCTGCTGTCAGTGCAGCTCCCCTTTTGCAATCTTCTGTCTCCCTCTTTCTCTGCCCCTGCCCCACTTGTGCTCTCTCCCAGTCTCTCAAAAATAAACATTTAAAAAAAAAAATGCACTTAGCAAATGACTGCATGTAGTGGAAAATAATCTGTGCATGATAAAAGGCAACATAATCAATTACACTTCAAAGTTTAATTCAGAATTCAAAGTGGGCTTATTCTGTATCAGTAACGTTTTTCAATGGCAGACTACAAATGTCAATTTAAGTACTAATACGGTTAAAACTTAACAGTGGCATTGAGTTTGGGAAAACAGAAGGGTGCAGATAACCAAATTCCAACTTCCCATTATAGAAGCAACAGCAGCAGCATCTCTGGCCCAGTGGTGCTCAAACCCCAGTGTAAATAGAAATTACCTGAGGTTTTTGCTTTTGGAAATACATTAGCTGAGATATGAGAATCCCTCATATTACAAATACCTAGATAAAGCAAATAAGATACAACAAGTAAAGTCTTTATTTTGAGAGAGCAGGGGGAGAAGGGTAGAGAGAGAAGGAGAGAGAGAATCCCAAGTAGGCTCCAGGCTCAGCTCAGAGCCCAAGATGGGGCTCAAGCTCAGGAACCATGAGTTCATGACCTGAGCTGAAATCAAGAGTCAGACACTTAACCAGCTGAGCTACCCAAGCGCCCCACAACAAATACTCTTTTAAATGCACTGCTAAACTCACAAGAAATCCACAGACAGCAAAAATATCTGTTGAATGTGTTTATTTAATGAAATTAGAGTGGTGCGCAAGAGCTAAAACCATGATCTTAGCTCAAACTTCAAATATAGAGAATTGAGGGGCGCCTGGGTGGCTCAGTCAGTTGAGCGACTGACTTCAGCTCAGGTCATGATCTCACAGCTTGTGAGTTTGAGCCCCTCGTCGGGCTCTGTGCTGACAGCTCAGAGCCTGGAACCTGCTTCGGATTCTGTGTCTCCCTCTCTCTCTGCCCTTTCCCCACTCGCACTCTGTCTCTGTCTCTCTCAAAAATAAATAAACATTAAAAAAAATTAAAAAAAAAAAAACAAATATAGAGACTTGAATTTTGATTTTTATTAGATGTGATGAAAGGTGGAACTGAGACCACTACTTAAAACCAGCAATACCCGTGAAAGGCCACACCCTTCAGTGAATGAGTAGGTATGGGGGCTGGGCATGTCTGGCCACTAACAAAGAGAGCAAATAAAAACACAACCATATGAATCAGGACTTCACTGGAATGGGGTTCAGTGAAAATTATTACAAGCCTGTTCTCAGTTAAGTATAAATTTATACTTCTTACAAGGACCAGGGCCTCAAGCCAATAAATGAATTTCAGCTGTTTCTAGGTTGGTGGTAATGCAAGGCACCTGTCAGAAAGAGAAGCAAATTCTCTGCGTGAAGTCAAACATACCTTCAACCCACATCCCAGGAGATTCCTAAATATGACTATTATCCAAATAGGAAATTAACAAAATTATCAAACCAAAAGGAAACAAACTACCACAGCTAAAAAGCTATAAAAAACAGAATTAAACCTGCAAGAAATTCAAATTTTGGAATTTACAGATATACAATATAAAATTACAATTAGGTATGCCTTAAAAGTTTACAGAAATTGGGGCACCTGGGTGGCTCAGTTGGTTGAGTGGTTGACTTGGGCTCAGGTCATGATCTCATGGTTTGTGAGTTCAAGCCCTGCATTGGGCTAACTGCTGTCAGCACAGAGCCGGCTTCGGATCCCCTATCTTTCTCTGCCCCTCCCCTCTCCCACTCTCAAAAAATAAAATAAAAATGTACAGAAATAAAATATTGAATATATAGGCCAGAAATAAGAGGCTAACAAAAATGACTAGGCAGACACGAAAACAAAAAAAAAAACACCTAATAGAATTTCTGGGGAAAAAAATATATAATCCTTGAAATTAAAAACCTAATTGGAGTAGAAAGAATCAGTAAACAAAATGACTGATCTGAATCAGGAAAGAAAGCCAAAGAAATAAAAGACATGAAAGAGATTAAGAGACATCTTAAAACCATCCCGTCTCATTAAATCTCATCTCAAGAAAGAGAGATTAACTTACATTTGATTAAAATTTCAGAAGGGAAGAACAGGAAAAAAATGGAGAAGCAGCAATACTTCAAGGGACATTGGCTGAAATTTTTCCAGAATAAAGAGAGGATGCCATATTCAGGAGACACTAAAAGTCCCAAGAAGGATAAAAAAGAAATCCACATCCAGACACATCAGATGAAACTGCAAACCGCCAAAGGCAAGGAGGTGATCTTTAAAATCAGACAGAGAAAGGTTCCTATAAAGGAACAATTAGACTTCTCAGAAAAATAATAAAGGTCGGAATACTACTCTGGTAAGAGTAATTAAGTCATTTAGAATTGCATTCCTAGGTAAAAACATCATTCAAGAAATAGGACAAAAAAACCCCCATACATTTTTTGATAAAAACTGAGTTTACCACCAAAAGGCATGGAATATATCCTTCTAAAGGTATAGTTCAAGATTTTAAAAAAAGTTTCAAGACAGTCTAAATGCCAAAAGGAGCAAAAATAATTTGGCAATCTTGGGTTGATATAAACAAACACTGATGACTGTAGAGAGCAATAATAATAATGTCTAATTTATGCCATTTTTAAAAAGATAGAACTCAAATACTGAACAAATGGCATGTAAATGGAAAGGTGTGATGGATATTAAAGGGCACTCGGGAATGTGTATTATTTAGGAGGTGTGTAGAGTTAGCGAGTAATGTGAGGTCTTCAATTAGATACATGTATTAATAAGAGTAACTTCTAGAATAGTAGAAGAAGTATACAGCAGTGATGCTTAATTAGGGCGGACACTAGCCCCCTGTGTTAGAAAGGAAGTGTTTGGGAATGTGTGAAGGCATTCTGGGGATGACAACGCACTTGATAGGTAGGAGCCAAGGATTTTAAATGTCCTGCCGTGCCTATAAAGTGCCACAGAGTAAAAGTCTTAGCCAAAATGTCAATAGCCCTATAACAGTATGAAATAACATATACAACTACCAAAAATGGAATTTAAATAATTCAACATGGAAATTAAACAATAAAAATCACCTATAAATGTGCTTCAAGTCACAAATTCTTGGGCTTCACCTATAACAGATTCTGAATCAACAGGTCTGTGACGAGACCCAGGAACTTACAGTTTTAATAACCCCCGAGCAACTGTGATACAATCCAACAACCACACTCTGAGAAACACTACAGCTTAATGAAGGGGACGCGGCAGGTGAAGAGGGTTTCAGAGACTCCCAGTACAGGCAGAGGTTCCAGAGCAAGCACGGCCCACTGCTGAGGAGAAATCCAGCAGCAGGGGGTAGGTGGTGGCCATTCACCTGCACATACCATTAGGAGTCCCCAAATCAGAAACTGCGGATCAAGAAGAAAAGAATTTTTCTAAATTTAACAACAATAGAAGTAGAACAATGCTTTTCCACTACGTAAAATAAAATGTTCTTTAATTACTGGAAATGAAATTACAACAGAATGACTCAGGACACCATCAATAAACAATTCAATCCACAAACCATAAATGAACCACCTGTAAAGCAGATGGTGGGAAGGCCTGTCTTCAGAAGCCCCGGCCACACTCTGACCTACACTCTTTGAGTAAGTGCCCTTCATTCACTAATTCCTAACATCTAGGATGCGACTGCCACAGGACAGCAGAATAGTATTTCTGAAAGATATTAAATATATTCTGGAGGGGGGTGGGGGGAAAGAGTTTCTTGCACTGAAAATAATACTATATATTCTCTTCCTAGAGATTAACAATGTACAATAGTACATTAAAAGAGTCTGAAAAGGGACACCTGGGTGGCTCAGTCGGTTAAGAGGCCGACTTCAGCTCAGGTCATGACCTCACGGTTTGTGAATTTGAGCTCCACATCAGCCTCTGTGCTGACAGCTCAGAGCCTGGAGCCTCCTTCAGATTCTGTGTCTCCCTCTCTCTCTGCCCCTTCCCTGCTCATGCTCTGTCTCTTTCTCTCTCTCAAAAATAAACATAAAAAAAAAAAAAAAGAGTCTGAAGAGTTTACAGTAAGGAAATCCATTTGCTTTTGACTCCTCTCTCTCACCATGATTTGATTAAAAGGAACTCCCAATTCTTCCCCATTTTCATTAGCAAATTTAAGATTTAGAAAATGATGTTCACTTAAGTAAATGTTTTTTATTCCCTGCTGTATCCTCTGGCACCTAGGACAGTGTCTTGAACAGGAACTCAAAAGATGTTTGCCGAATGAGTAATTAATATCCGTTGCATGCTGGTAAATGTTTAAAAAATCAGTTTGGGGGAAAAGGAGAGAGCAAGCCTTGATTGGTGGTATTTTACATTGTAAACACTCCCACCATGGCTACCAGAGCTTGAAATCTCTGAACACAGAGTGGGAAAGAGATGCTCATAATCTCACTAGCACAAAAAGGCTCCAGAACATTAATGATTAAAATGCTAAGTATAGTTTATTTTATGGAAATACAGAGTTAACACCTCACAAACTAGTATTCCTGAGGAATGAAGGCTGACTTTTCCAGGTAATGGGATGCTACGTTAGGTGGAAAAATGTACATTTTTTTTTCAATTCAAAGAAATACTATATATTTATTAAGTGTGTGGTACAAAACTTAGCATTTTCTGTTAACTCAGTATTGTCAATTACCTATAAACTGTCATAAAGTGATGCTTTCAAAGGTTACAGAGATATACAAAGCTAATTGTCCTTTACTAAATCATGGGTTCTTAACCTGGGACCCAAGGATAGGTTCAGGGAACCCAAGATGCCTCTGACACTGAATGCAAACTGATAATATGTTAATGCATCTTTCTGGAAAGAAATTCTATAGCTTCCATCAGGTATCTCAAAGTGTCCATAACCCAAAGATTAAGACCCACTTTTCCAAGAAAGGAACTGAGAAGAACTACAAAAACAACCATAAAACAAGTAACAAAATGGCAATATGTACATACCTATAAATAATTACCTTGAATGTAAACAGACTAAATGCTCCAGTCAAAAGACACAGGGTGATGGAATGGATAAAAAAGCAAGACCTATGTTTGTGCTGCCCAGGAGAGACTCATTTCAGACCTAAAGACACACACACAACAAAAGTGAAGGGATGGAAAAAGCATTTAGTATGCAAGTGGAAGTGATAAGAAAGCCAGAGTAGCAGTACTTACACATCGGACAAAAAAGACTAAAAGACTGTAACAAGGGACAAAAAAGGACACTATATAATCACAAATGGAACAATCCAACAGGAAAATATAACAACTGTAAATTCTTATGTACCCAACACGAGAGCACCCAAATACATAAAGGAGTGAACATAAAGGAAGTAATCAATAGTAATACAATAATGGTTGGGGACTTTCACACCCCACCGACATCAATGGACAGAGCATCCAAGCAGATTATCAACATGGAAACAGTGGCTTTGAATGATACGCTGGACCAGATGTATCTAATAGATATATTCAGAACATTCCATCCTAAAACAGCAGGATACATATTCTTTTCAAGTGCAAATGGAACATTCTCCAGAAGAGATCACATATTAGCCCACAAATCTCAGCAAATTCAAAAAGACTGAAGTCATACCATGCATTTTTTTCTTTTTTTAAAATGTTTATTTATTTTAGAGAGAGAGAGAGAGAGAGAGGGAGAGAGAATGAATGAATATCCCAAGCAGGCTCCATGCTATGCTGTCAGTGCAGAGCTCAATGTGGGGCTCAAATCCACAAACCGTGGGATCATGACCTGAGCTGTAATCAAGAATCTAATGCTTAACCGACTGAGCCACCCAAGGGCACCATCCATGCATGCATCTTTTCTGACTACAACACTATGAAAGTAGAAATCAACAACAACAACAACAAAATTCTGGGAAGAACACAAATATATGGAAGTTAAATAACATGCTACTAAACAATGAGTCAACCAAGAAATCAAAGAGGCAATCAAAAAATACATGAAGGCAAATAAAAATGAAAACACATGGTCCAAAATCTTTGGGATGCAGCAAAAGCTGTACTAAGAGGGTAAGTTTATAACAATATAAGCCTACCTCAAGAAGAAAAAAATCTCAAATAAACAACCTAACCTTACACCTAAAGAAACTAGAAAAACAAGAAAAAACAAAAGCCAAAAACGGTAAAAAAAAAAAAA